CGAATTTTAGAACGTTAAAAAACAATTTAACCCAACCCATGTTTTCTTTCTAGTTGACTTGACTTCATTTTGGAAAAGTCTTGCAGCATCTTCCGCTTATGTATTTCTTCTCTTGAGTTAGTTGCATTACCACCATTTTCGTTTTGTTCCTGCAGAATATGACAAGCATGAGACGAGTGTTTCTTTTACTTTCTTTCAATGCTCTCATGTTACTTGAAACATATGGTTTTACTCTTGAAACTGATCACTACAAGAGCGTTGGTGGAGTTCAAGTCTCAAGTTTCCCAAGACAAAAGACTTGTTTCCCAAGAAAAGTTGGGTATGTAGTCAAATAATCTGGGAGGAGGGATTCCAGCCAGTTTGTCTAACTGCTCTAGATTGTTGGATCTTTATTTACTTGAAAATAATCTTGGAGGAGGGATCGAGATAACCCTTGGAACAAATCTCATCTCTGGAACCATTCCTCATGATATTGAGAATCTCATAAATCTCATCTCTGGAAATAAATATGTTGACTGGAAGTTGGTAAGCTTTCAAGACTGGGAGTATTAAGTCTCAACTCTCAGGAGAAATACCATCTTCTATAGGCAACATCAGTCGGTTAGAAACACTGGATTTGTCCAACAATAGTTTTCAAGGAACCATTCCTCCTAGTCTTGCTAAGTGCAGTTACCTATTAAACTTACGGATTGGGCATAATAAGATGAATGGGACCATACCTCAGGAGATTATGCAAATACCAACCCTTGTTCACCTGAGCATGGAAGGCAGTTCTCTGACCGGCTCTCTACCAAAGGATGTTGGACGACTAAAAAATCTCTTCTTGTATTATCTGTTTCGCAGAATAACTTATCGGGACAACTCCCACAAACTTTGGAAAATTGTCTCTCAATGGGATTTCTTTATCTGCAAGGTAATTTTTTTGATGGAGCCATTCCAGATATAAGAAGGTCGGTGGATGTTAGAGAAATTGATTTGTCGAGAAATCACCTCTCTGGAAGTATACCTGAGTATCTTGCAAACTTTACCAAGTTGCAGTATCTCAATCTATCCATCAACAATCTTGAAGGAAGAGTGCCAACAGAAGGAATATTTCAAAATGCTACTATAGTTTCGGTATTTGGGAACAAAGATCTATGTGGAGGCATCAGGGAACTGAAACTAAACCCATGCTTTCCACAAGCACCACCAGTGGGATCAAAGCATTCCTCTCATCTAAAGAAAGTTGTGATTAAAGTAAGCATAGGCATAGCTTTGCTTTTGCTATTGTTCATAGTTTCTCTACGTTGGTTCAGAAAAAGAAAGAAGAACCTTTAGGCCAATTATCAACCACCTTCCAATTTGGGGGCCGTCCATGAGAAGATAAGTTATGGAGATCTTCGAAATGCGATGGATGGCTTCTCTTCGAGCAATTTGATTGGGTCAGGCAGTTTTGGTACTGTGTTTAAGGCATTGCTCCCTGCAGAGAACAAATTTGTTGCGGTGAAAGTTCTAAACCTCTGCAGAGACGTGGAGCAATGAAGAGCTTTATGGCAGAATGTGAATCTTTGAAAGACATAAGACACCGTAATCTTGTGAAACTATTGACGGCTTGTTCGAGTATCGATTTCCAAGGAAATGATTTCAGAGCTCTCATCTATGAGTTTATGCCTAATGGAAGCTTGGATATATGGCTGCACCCGGAGGAAGTGGAAGAGATTCGTAGGCCCTCGAGAACCTTGACTCTTCTTGAAAGGCTTAGCATAGCGATAGACGTGGCTTCTGTTTTGGATTATCTTCATGTTCATTGCCATAAACCTATAGCTCATTGTGATCTTAAGCCAAGCAACGTCCTTCTAGATGATGATTTAACTGCCCATGTCAGTGACTTTGGTCTTGCTCGTCTTCTCCTCAAATTCGACAAAGAGTCCTTCCTCAACCAACTTAGCTCAGGCAGCGTCAGAGGAACCATCGGCTATGCCGCACCAGGTAAAAATATTATACAACTGTCATGTTTAAATGAATAAAATTACAGTATAATCTTATGGTATTCCAATCTTGTTGTATTTGTGGATTATATGGTGTAGAATATGGAATGGGAGGACAGCCATCAATACATGGTGATGTGTATAGCTTTGGGGTTCTCATTTTGGAAATGTTCACTGGAAAAAGACCAACCAATGAGTTATTTGGTGGAAACTTTACCCTCCACAGTTACACCTTGCCCGAAAGAGCATTGGACATCGCAGACCAATCGATTCTTCACAGTGGTCTCAGGGTCGGTGGTTTCCCAGTTGTTTGAGTGCTTGACAATGGTTTTGAAGGTGGGACTCAGGTGTTCTGAAGAATATCCGACGAACCGGTTGGCAACGAGTGAAGCCGCAAAGGAGTTGATCTTAATCAAAGAAAGGTTCTTCAGAAGGACAGCTAGACGTTGAAGTGTTTATGCTATCATTCTATGGCCTAAATCATGCCATCGTCTTAATAATGTGTTGTTTTCATTTTCTCTATGTATATACATTATCTATTTACCTATGCTTGCAGAATATTGTCAAGGGTGCTATGTTGTTTTACAGACAAAATATGATTGTTGTTATGTTTGTTACCAGCTTTATAATTGATAATCCTCTGTTTTAGCTTCTAATTCCCAAATATTTTTAGAATTTCCCAGCTTTTTTAATTTTTTATCATCCAGAGTTTCGAATTTTTTTTTTCTTTTCAATTTTGTTTCTGGTGTTTTTTATTTATTTTTCATGGGTGTTTAAGATAACTCTATTAATTTTATTTTTTGGAGCTATCAAGTTCTAACCCTTTGATCTTTCTAGGACTACAAGTGGTTTTTTTTTTTTTTTATTGCATCGAAAGAGTAGTACGGAAACTAATATTTTTGTTTCCGGTGGAAGCATCAGACAGATTTTTTTGCCGTGTTTTCTTTGATTTTTATGGGGAATTACCCAATCCAACAACATCGCTAATGTATTATCAAAGACATGATTATATTCAAACCGGAATAAGCAACAGATTATATTCAAATTGAAGGCAAACAACTAAATATATTTCGATGAAATGATTTGCTATTGCTTGACAAAAAATATGATTTGGTATTTGTTAAGATCATCTACAATAACAATTTAACAGAGTTTGACACAGAAAGCAGGGGTTACTATTTGCCTTGTGCGATCATTCCAATTGTAAAATTTTATTTGGAAGTGATTTTTTAGTGTTTTTGAGTTAGACAATTCTCAAAAATACCACGCTTTTAAAGTTTTGTTTCAAAAGTAGCATCAAATTGGATTTAGGCCTTTGGGAGATGTCAAGTTGGGTTTAGTCATTATTTTTAACTAGGTGATTTCCCGCACCGTGTGCGGATGTAAATTTTTTAAGAAATAAGTTTACTTTTTGTATTTCATTAACACAATTTTTTAATTTTAAACTTTTGTGCATGTATAAATKAATATGAATAAACGTAATATTTTAAGTTTTRCMGAATTACATATACTGAATTAAAACRCAATCGATGGATTACAATATGTAAAATTTTGTATTTAGTGAAACAATGTCTTAATATATTAMATAAAATGGCGAGCATAAACAAAATGTGAAATTGTAATAATTATTTACGTTTAGTTTGTTTTATTTTTCTTAGTATTTCATTATATATGTTTCTTCTACATTTTTTTTATCGTCTTCATCTTCTTTGTATCGTCTTACTTTTTTTTCCCCTTTTGATTTTTCTATTATTTTTTTATATGCGTTTATCTTCGGTTTTATTTTTACCCAGTTTTTTCTTTTCTTCTACTTTTTTTTCGTTTCCTCTACAATTATTATTTGTGACCAAAATCGCTAGATTTCTCTATTTGTGGTCAAAATACGAATTCAAATTTCGAACGATTAGTTCAA